CCAGACTTCCTCTTGTCAAAGCCTTCAGCCTTGACTTCCTGTCACCAATATGTTTTAAAAGCCATAAAATTGACACTTGGTCTGTGATCTGCGAGGACACAAATGAGGCTACAAATCTGTCATGTGACCTTGTTCCCTTCATTACAACAACTCAGCGACTCGACAATCAACAGAATAGAAGGTGGCCTTTGTGGCCGTGTAAATCATGAGAGGTAAGTTTGATCTGTTAGCTCCAAAAATGGCTCTGAAGAAGCCTTTTGTGCCGACCTCATGCTAAAACAATCAAAACACAAGCTAAAACAATCAAAACACAAGCTAAAACAATCAAACACAAGCTAAAACAATCAAACACAAGCTAAAACAATCAAAACACAAGCTAAAACAATCAAAACACAACATAAAACAATCAAAACACAAGCTAAAACAATCAAANTTTTTTTGTTTGTTTGTTTTTTTTAATGAAATGAATACATTTCCAGACAATCACCTCATTAGTTCAGACACGAGTTTGTTGTCAAATCATATTCTCCCCCCACCCCCGCGGAAAAAAACACTGATGGACAAACACACGGTGCAGTCCTGACAACTTCCTCTGCGCGCGCACGCACGCATGTGGCGTAATGCCAACACATGAAGCCCCAGCAGATAATGGTGACATTGTTCCTCCAACACACTCCTTCTAATCTTATTTAATGAAGTAACAACAAACTGCTCGGCAGTTCTGTCTAATATAAAGTTGCTGAGAGAGATGAACGGTGGTGGTGGTGGTGGTGGTGTGTGGGGGGGGGGGGGGCAGAAAGTCCTGCTACAATGTGCGTCTGCTCATCATCCATGATGCTGCTACGTGTACAGATCTCTGTTTTCATTCACACTCACTCACGCGCATGTTGCTCACACAGACAAAACACGAGCTCATTATTCTGATTAAACGTAGGCGACTGAACGCACAGTGAGAACATCATGCAACAAGCGGAAACAAACATACCGCAGATAATAATAAAAAAAGAATATGAAAAACGTGGCTCTTATCAGTTTCGGGCATAAACAATGAACCCRTTCCGTAAACAGCTTGTTTTACTCATTTTACCCTCGTATCTCGGTTATGCTTTGATATCAGCGTTTTTAAGGCGGTTAATGTTGAACTAACCTGTAAGCAGCTGCAGACTTTACTGTAATTCTTCAGAAAGAAGCAGAGGAAGCGGCAGTGGCGGCAGTCTGGTATTCAGTTCTCCTTAAACAGCTCTCAGCCAATAGGAGACTGGCTTACATGCTGCTTTGCATAATTGTTTGAAAGACCTTCTTTTATTGGTTAAAGCRGTGTAACAATGAAGGGTGAACAACTTTCATAAATAGATGTGTTTCAGTTTAGAAAAGATCAAATGATGAAACAATAAAAAAATCATAATTAAGGATTTACTTAAATTATTTTTGTTGTGCCGAAAAATATTTCATGTAAACACTTCCTATTAGAAATAACAAACAATAAAGCTATTGTAAATGTAGAATTTTTTTACGTCTCTTATATAAACTTACTTCATTTAAAACAGCACCAGTTTTGTTGAAAGATGAAGTAAAACTTGCTGTTGTTCTCATTTTGACCACAAGAGGTCACACAAGACTTACTTTACAAACCTACAACTTTATTCTCCATATTTAAAACACTTTACAGATGAAAATCATGTTGGGTTGAAAGATATTTCGACACAAATCAAAATTTGAAGCGTGAGCTTGACAAAATGTGAGAACTGATCAAATTAAACATGCTGGAGAGTATTTGATTTTTTGATAGTCATGTGTAGACATCCATATTTTAATATCAACAGGCTTTTTTGTGTTAAGCTTGCTCAAACCGGTTTTTCCCTGTTAGAGGTTAATAATCACAAACAGATATAATGTGTATTTGAGTATAAACATGAGAAGAATAACACATTTATTTGCTTTAGTATGAACTCATTTGTGTTACTTTATTTTTTATATAGAAAAGAACAGGACTTTAAATATTCTGAGCTCAGCTTCGATCATTCTAGGGGCTAAGTGGGGACCGTGTGAACTGCCGCAGTCCAGGCTGAGGGGGGCGCGCCAGGCCAAAGGATTGTGGACCCTCATGGAGAGGGTGCTGAGGGGGGTCACCACGGGTCAGAGCGCAGCGCCCGACAACGGTGGTCTCTGCTGCTGCAGACAGGGCCTCATGACTGTAGGATTCTTCATCACTTAATGTTTGCTTTTTGTCCAAACATAAGAGCCTAAAACATTGGAAAACTGTGGAACAAGCTGAAGGCCTATTGCAGCGAGGATTTAAGTAAAAGTTATTTCTTTGTGAACCACTTTGTGTTTCTCTCCTTAGAGGTTCTTTCTCCAAGTTTGAACAAAACAAGTTAAACTCAGCATGGATTTATTGTCATGTTTGTTGCTGTGTGTTTATTTTTAATATAAACACAAGCAATGAGCCAATCTGGAGTCAAATATTGTGCTCAAAACCAAAATGTCCTACAGAGAAGATCTGTTTGCAACTTTTTTATTTTATTTTTTGTCATTCCTAATTCAGTACACATGTACAGAGAGACTAAAATTTCAATGTCCGTGTTCTGCTGGATTAAATTATGTCAGAATCAAAAATCAAGTGGTGTTATCATGATCTTGTTTATATTCTAGCAATAAGTTATTATAACAGACAACAGTGGTTTCCAACCATCTTCAGACCCACAAAATAACAGTGGCAGAGGCTGTGAGTCCAAATATTGCTCGTTTAAATGTACAAATAAGCAAACAAAGGCATAAAGACAACATAAACAGTCTCAACAAATACGATGCACTTTTAAATATATAATTTATTACCATTGCATATGTTGTTTCTAACAATCATAAAGACATAATTTTAACTATCTTTTTTATCATTATTATTTACCATTAAATTGTTTTATAAAAGTCAATGAAAGACCTTCAGGTGGTGTTTCACGACCCAAAGTGGGGTCCCGACCCCAACTTTGGGAACCACCGCCGTCTTCAGTGGAGAATTGAAACTGATAAACGCGACTCAGAACATTTGCACATGCGCAGAGGCTTCAGACAGCGTGCATTATTCAAAGTTGAACATTTGTTTTATTTGAGTCACTTTAGCGCTGCAGGCACACAGTGGGTGTTTAAATGAATGATGTCATAAAAGCTGGACATCGACAGCCAGAGAGAACAAAAACACAAATGTATTTATTCACACAATCAAACACTTTTTATACTTTCTTCAGATAAATTATCAGAACACGAATTACATTTGTCACATTGCAGTGATTCATTATAAACATTCCCTCACTCCGATTTATCCTTCCTGACGCAAGATTTAAGGGTAGGAACTGTTCCGTGTTTATTATAGTTCTTTTAAAAAAATAACAAACCACAAGTCTTTATGCATTAGCTATAAAAGGGGGGGAAAGCATAAAAGTGTTTAAAAACTCCACATTCAAGTAATAGGATTTTATGCCCCCGTCCCGCTCGCATGCGCCTTTTCTCTCCACGGTTTTTTCCAAAAACTCCCCAAAAGCTTCAAAAAACTTTGCTTTCTTCTACAACTGCTGCTTTATCGACATCACAGGATCACGTAAGAAAGCATGGCTAAAGTTTCCAGATTAAAACATTCTCAGTCACAAAAAAAATAAAGAAAAGAATGGGGAGCAAACTGTTGTGGCGCATGAGAGAATCTGCGGCGCGCRCACAATAAATCTGTTGTGGGCCTTGCTGTGAAAATATGTTTGAAGAGAAAAAAACAGCCGATTGTTGCACGAAATGTATTCAAGTATAAAATAATGCCCTTTGTTTAGGGGTAGGAAAAAGAAAACTTGAGCAATGTGAGGGTACAAAAGTCCCCTGTGGTATTTACTAGCAGCCTTTGTGCTTTTTGCGCTCTGGCGTCTCCACTTGGCGCATTCCCCAGGCCCCTTTAAAACGCGATTGTTTCTTTCTTTCTAATGACATTTACCGGATCAAAACGTGCTGTTAATTCGATCAGAAAGCTTCACCCTTCATAACAATGGCAGTATAATTTCTCTCAAAGTTTGTTAAGTTGACCGAAATTAGGCAAATGAATAGGGGTCTCCAGGCTCCGCATCTCGCAGGTGACGGGGAATAATGCGCGCTCAACACCAGCTGCATTCTTCTTTATTTCTCCCTTTCTTTCACAGTATTATTAAAATTTAGGCCAATGAAACTATTCATTCGACTGAATAGACATTTTCTTATAGGATAATAGGATACAAATTGAGCCTCTCCAAAGAGTCTCCAGTGGTGGGTAACCCTCGTGTGCCAGAGGCTGCTGGAGACGCCGCGGCCCTGACGCAGACGACGCTCGTGTGCCAGGGCTAATCACGCACCTGCCGAGGAGTCCGAGGAAAGAAAGAACGTAAACAAAAAGCTTGCCATCTTTTATAAAAGATGGACGTGTCACCAAGTCGTGTGAGAAACGCCGGGAGCAAACGGGGGGGACTCCGTCTCCAAAGGATCTCCCCTGAACTCGGCGGAACAGCCTATTAAAGGCTTACTTAATTACTCTAATGATACTGGACAGGCCTTAAAACTCTGACCGGGCCTGGACCACAGAAAAGGTCGCTTGCTGGGATTTGGAAACAGGCGATCGTGTGAGAAACGCGACGTGGAAGAAAAGAGGTTTCTCTTTTTTTTTTCTTTCCTTTTTTGGCCTGCTTTGTTTTGAGTGCGCACAGTGCGCTCCGCCGGATCCCAGCGCTCCTCCGGCTGCTTATTTCCCGCCTGTGTTTGTTCCCTATGCAAATAATATTCCCAAAGTAAATCACGTGTCCTTTGAACAGCCACGTGGATTAACAAAGCAGGTTTGCCCCCACTGCCAGCCCCGTAGCTTTAGAGTTTTTTTAAACAGTTTCTTTTAACTGATCCCAAACGCACACATTTAACCAATGCGCGGCTCTAATCCCGCGTGGAATAATTTACACCGTGAATGAGTGGCTTCTTTATAAGAGACAACTTCCCACTCAGACCTCAGTCTGCCTCTTCTCCGTCCAGATCTGAACACGTCTCCAACTGAGCASAGAACGGAAGAATTTTGCCTGAAAATCGTCGATGGCATCAAAAATGAAGGACAGGAAGGTATGCGCTCCACGCGCGCACTGCGTTTCAGGACTGACACACTTTGGATTGGGATTTATTTTTGAATTATCTGTGGAAAAATAGTACATTAGATGTTTTTTTTCCTTGGCGTTTTGTTGTCGAGCATGCATTTTGAGCGATTTTCACGCAAGAGGAATAAAACGCTCTCGCGTGGCGCGCACCTTGCAGGTTCACTTCGGCGCGCAATTTGTTTTTTAAAAAGCCGCCTGTTTGTCACTTTTAAAGTAATTGCATGACAGCAGTAACATAATATGYTACAAACACAACATCATTTGTTTTATTTTTAACGGGGACTCAGTGCTGATGTCTGCCGTTGCGCGCTTTGGATGCGCGCGGCGCGTAAAAATCACCAAAAATAGATCACTTAGAAAAAAGTTTCAAACATCAATTTATCGCTTTGTATCATGGATTGTCTCCTTGCTCATTCTACTAATTTGAAGCAGAGATGCAATGAAATGAGGTTGCTGTTCTTCTTTTTTCCACAGAGAACTCCAATCTCTCACAAAGTCATCGAGAAAAGAAGAAGAGACCGCATCAATCGCTGTCTCAACGAACTCGGAAAAACCGTCCCCATGGCTTTAGCTAAACAGGTATTTTATTTTTCAGATGTGCATTGAGCATTTATCAATAAATATAGTTTCTATAATATTATTGTCATGTGTTTTAAATGTTGAACTGTGTATTTTGGTAGAACTCTGGGAAACTGGAGAAAGCAGAAATCTTGGAGATGACAGTGCAGTACCTGCGAGCGCTCCACTCAGCAGATTTCCCCCGCGGGAGAGAGAAAGGTCAGTGATTTTTTCCCCCCACACTTTACGCATCACATCACTATCATCCTGCAGCAGTTTGACAAGTTTTTCGAAAGAAACTGAATTAGAATAATCTCTTATTATTTTAGTCTGAGACGCAGTTTCTTGTGCGTCAGAGTTTTAATCGCTGCTGACCTTTTGGTTGATTTCAGGTGAGCTGCTGGCTGAGTTCGCCAACTACTTCCATTACGGATACCACGAGTGCATGAAGAACCTGGTGCACTACCTGACCACGGAGGATCGAGCCGAGACCAAAGACATCAAGTACGCGCGGATCCTCGCCTTTCTACARTCCAAGTCGCGCGCGCTCACAGAGCCGCTGTTCGGTTCGGTTGGCGCCGCGCAGGAACCGTCMGACTACCTGAGCCAGCTGCACTCCTCCCCGGAGCACAACAACCACAGCCCCACACCGGACTCCGTGTTTCAGCAGAGCCCGGCTGGACACTTCTCCTGGCACGGCTCGGCCCGCAGCCCGGCCATCTCGTACCAAACCGTACCGCTCTCTGCGCACGCTCAGCAGCACGGAGGATATCTGTCGCCGGTGCAGGGACTCGATCACCATTATTTCAACTTCATTGGTCACACGCACGCGAACACGTTCAGTCTGCACAGCGCTCAGCACGCCATGTAAAAAAACGAAACAAAAAACAAACAAGCAAAAAACTTTCCCCCTGTAATGTTGTTGTTGTTTTTATTTATAACATCATGTACATGCTGTGAATAAATACATTATTTCTCACTAGGTTGACTTGTTTGATGATCTGTGCGCGTAAATCCAAAAATCACCAGAAGTTTTTACTTAACTGAAGAGAAAAGGCCTAAAACATTTTTATTTTCTTTCATTTCATAAAAACACAAACTTTTAAACTGAACTCAATTCAAGTTTTTTTTTAAATTATTAGATTGTATTGGATATATG